ATTAAACTGTAGAAATTTAAGTAAAAAAAGTGTCTAATTTCAGTATTAAACATGAACCGCTGAGTTCTAAAAAAATTGGATTGCACCATTAGATTCTACGCACATTGAAACCTAGGAAATAATTTTAAAATTTCAAAAAAGCATAAAAAATAAGGTACAAACATGTTTGCAAACAATTAATTGAAAAATGAGTGAAAAAAGATAATTAATAATTAAAATTAATTTTTATGCAAAATGGTTTTTACCATTAAATTCTACGCGCTTTGAAACCTAGGAAACAATTTTAAAAATTCAAAAAAACTGGAAAAATAAGCCATAAAAAATTAATTACAAAACCGTTGTGGTAAGCCAATCCTGAACCTCAAGGCACAGCAAGACTACATATCACACAAGAATCACAGACCCAAGACCCCTCAAGAGTTTCCCCAGGCCCTCAAACAGAGGCAACAAACCAATAACCCTCACAACTACCCCCACATGGATAATAACATCTCCCACACCTCTGAAACTCCTCAAACGAAACCCAAGGCCAAATTCCTAGTTCAATCTTGATAAGACTTAGCCCACACACCAACTACACACTAGTAACCCTTCTCAATATAACATCAAACCCCTCTAAAATATATTCCTTATCTCTTATCTCCTTCCATCTTATGCCAAGAATTCCCACACAACAGCCATGTTTCATACTAGCCCTCTTTTGGCCCTGTCTTCCCATTGTCTGTTCAATCCCCATCTGGGTGAAATAATTACCCCCACCTCTTCCCCTTGATAAGATTATCCAAGCCTCTCTCTGTTTCAGGTTGAATTCATTACCTTATCTTAGCTTGGCCCTTTCTTTGGTTTCAGTCTAGTCTTATCTTATCTTAGTGCCACACTAAATTAGGCCACATTGTTCATAGTTACAATTTACTTCCTTGTTCATTCTTTGTTCCATTTTGTTCCATCCATCTTCCAACCACAGATTGGCCACTCCCCAGAATCTTGTATATAAGGAGCTTTGTTTTTCCTCTTCATTTGTTCCCTATCAGAGCCTGCCCCAGCAATTCAGATAACTGATCACCCACTATTAGCCAGGTATTTGCCCATCAACATTTGGGATACCTTGATTTGTGACAAGTTTATTTAGACTAGTAACCATAAGAAATATTAGACATACCATCCTCAAGAAATCTCCACAGCCACACCTTTTTCCTTAAGAGTCCATACTCTTATATTTTCTTGTTATCAGAGAGGCAGCCCATTAAAGCATTCATCCCTCTCAAGCTCTATTCCTCCCAAGAGTAGTTCCACACCGTGTTTAAACACGGAAACCACGTGTGCTGTGCCGCAGCAAAACCGTGTGTAAACGCGGAAAAACCGTGTTTTTTTATTGAGGCCCTTAAAAAAACATGCCAAATACAATATTCAAGAATTAATTTTCATTTTGATGCAAAATGATTATTACCATAATTTTTTACATGTCTTAAAGTGTAGGGAAAAAAATTAAAATATCAAAAAATATTGAGAAAGAAGCTGTAAGAAATTAATCAAAAAAATGTGTTTGATTGGAATTTTCAAAGTGATCCTTTGATATTTAAAGAAATTGAATATTACCACAAGGTTCTACGCATTTCAAAACCTAGGAAATGAATTCAAGATTTCAAAAAACATGAAAAATAAGCAGTAAAAAATTAAGGGGCTTGGTTAAACGACTCCCAAAAAGTGGAGAGCCGACTCCCAAGCCCCGGATTCCCCAAAAAAAGGGAGTCGAACCCCCAAAACCTTTGATTGGTTTGGGAGTCGACTCCCTAGAAAAAATAATAATAAAAAATCAAAATCCCCGGTCGGTTTGGGAGTTGGCCTCCCACACTGACCAGGGTTTGGGGGTCGATGACCCAAAATACCCAGGGCAGCGGCCGCTGATCAGGTACACTCAACGGCCGGGAGCTGACCCCTCGGTCGCTGAGGTGTTTGGCCGTGAGAGTGCACACACCTCAGCGGCCGAGACAATTCCTCTCGGCCGTTGAGAGTGTATAGCCTCAACGGCCGAGACAATTCCTCTTGGCTGTTGAGGGTACACACTCTCAACGGCCGATGGAAACCGTCTTGGCTGTTTGAGGTGTACACACCTCAATGGTCGAGGGTCACGGCTGTTGAGGTGTACACTCAGAGAAAATCGGCTGCTGAGTGCACACCTCAACGGCCGAGAGCTGCATCCCGGCCGCGGATAGTGTACACCTCGACAGCTGAGGTGGTTTCCCTCGTCCGGTGAGAGTGTATATCCTCAACGGCCAAGAGGAATTGTCTTGGCCGCTGAGTTGTGTACACCTCAACAGCCGAGGCGGTTTCCATTGGCCGTTGAGAGTGTGTACCCTCAATGCCCAGGGGAACCGTCTTGGTTGCTGAGGTGTGTATACCTCAACCCATTGAGGTGTACACTCTCATGGCCAAGGGGTCAACTCTCAGCCGTTGAGAGTGTACCTCAGCGGCCGGGAGGAATTTTCCCAGCCGCTGCCCTGGGTATTCGACCGGGGATTTTTATTTTTTTTATTTTTTTTCTTAGGGAGTCGACTCCCAAACCAATCAAAGGTTTTGGGGGTTTGACTCCCAAAATTCGGGGATTGCGGGGGTTGGGAGTCGGCTCTCCATGTTTTGGGAGTCGGTTAACTAACCCCCAAAATTAATTAAAAAAACATGTCCAAACGCGGAATCCGTGTGTGCTGCACGCAGCAAACACTGTTTAAGGCCCTTATTTTATTTGTTCTTTTATTTGTTCTTTTCTTTTTTCTTTTCTTTTTTTTTTTCTCCTATATGGGTGGATATCCCCTGGGATACCCGGATATCTTCCAGGATTTCAGGGGGAAGGGGACATCTGCATCCACTGGTGGGTATCCGTTGGCACTGGCGGATATCCGCCAGCGGATAGCAGATATCCAGACCATCTCTACAAGAGAATCCTCTCGGCCACTGCATATCAATCCACCCTCCTATTGTACCCCTTAGACTGGACTATTTCAGGGGCAAGATAATTGGGTGCCCCACAAAGGGTCCAGGTGATATCCTAGGGCTCCGACTCCCAAACACCTGCGGGGTTTTGTAGGTTTGACTCCCAAACCCGCAATTTTTTTATGATTTTTATCAGCGGTGGGCCGCTACGCTACGCTACGCTTTTGGCCCAAAAAGCGTAGCGTAGCGGCGTTTTTTTTGCGCCAAATTTTTGTAGTATTAGCGCTTTTGTAGCGCATTTTTGCTACGCTACGCTGCGCTACAGCGCTTTTAGCGGAAAAAGCGGCTAAAAACCGCTAAAAACGGCTGTAGCGCAGCGTAGTGGGCCCTTTTTTGTGGCCCACACGCGTAGCGTTAGCGGTGTCGTGGCGGAATTCCGCTACGCTACGCTTAACGCTAACGGGAATTCCGCTGTGTTATGCTACACTAACCGCTACGGTTAGTGTAGCGGCCCACCGTTGTTTTTATTATATCACCAACTCCCAAATAAACTGATGTTTTTGGAGGATTGACTCCCAAGCCATTGGGGAGAACAAAAATAGGGAGTTTGGACGTCCAAGGATGGTCTACAGATGGTCCTCAGGACGTCCTGGACATTTGGGAGTGGATCCTCCACTTTTTGGGAGTCGATCAGCTAAGACCCTTATATGTAAAAATATAATTTTGTCCTGATTATGAACTTGATTGGTCTTACCACAGCATTTCTATCTGTCCCAGGAGTACTCCAGTGTTCCCTCTAATCCAAGGAGCTAACCCCTCCACTTTCTAGGGTTCAGGAGAGGTTCACACCTACAGGCTGCATCCAGCTATAGTAAAACCCATGAACCCATCAGCACCAATTCACTCTAGAGACCAGCGCTGACAAAAATTAAATAGTTTCTAAATTCTAATGGTAAATTTTTTATATTTGATATCCCCTAATAAATAGAGTAAAAAACATATAAAAGATAGATATAGAGAAAAGAAACAATTTCAATAGATTTAAATGATCAAAGATGAGACTTGATGAGATGAGAAGAAATCCAAAGGTCAATTTGTTGAACAAGAGAATCAATATGATGAGAAGTATTACTAGCATGTAAACAAACACGGACTTGATCTCTACCAGAAGGAACAGTAGGAGTTCCAATAGGTCTTACAAGCAAGCCTTTAGAATAAAGAAAACAAGCTAAGTCTCTAGGATGAGAAGTCAAGATAGGTATAATTGGAGAATAAAATTTATGGTTAATCATATCTATAGTGGATTGAGGAATAGTAATTAATACATCTACAGGTCTTGGGGCATTATTTGCCAAAGGTTTTATGCTGTGCTTTTTGATCAAGTTGAAAAGCTGCGTAGTCAGATTCTGGAAAAGTGATTTCAGTGTTTGGGCAGCCTGTAAGAAGCACCAGCAATGGTCAGCTAAAGTCAAAAATTACATGGAATATGTTTAAAAAAGGCTTACTGAGCTTCTATACTCTGTTTTGAATTCCCCAATTGAAGTAGACAAGCCAATCACATTCATGTGAGTCATTGCTGTTGAGAAGATTAAAGGTCTGGCATAGTTGATCAAATATTCCCGGAATAGAGGTGGTAAAATTGCAATAGCTCCAGAGCAAGCTACAGATTTTCCAAAGGTGTGTAGACGGATAAGAACTTGATCTTCTAGAGATAGAGCACAAGTTAATCCTCTTCCACAAGAGTCAAATAGACCAGTTGAATGAGCCTAATTTCAAATAAGAAAAGTGGTGAACATTTAACAGTTGAATTATAAATTACTAAACTAAAGTTACTCACTTCATCAATCACAATATAGGCATTTTTGTGTTCACCAAAAAGGCTGTTGACTACATGCACCACCTCTTCTAGTGGACATAGATCTCCATCCATACTATATAAAGCTTCAACACTAATAAAAATATTTGTCCTACCAGACCTAACATCTACTTCTTGTGACAAAATAGTTTTAAGAGTGTCTAATAAGCTAGCAAGGGAATTATGAAGGAAAGGGACTTGATGAGAAGAGGGAGTTCTAGACAATCTAAGACCATCATGGATAGAAGCATGAATAAGACTATCATAAATAACCCAGTCATTAGGACCAGGTATGGTACTCCAAATACTAACATTAGCATCAAAGCCACTATTGAATAATAAACCTGCTTGACCCCTAAAGAATTTTGTCAAGTCTTTTTCCAGGTTTTGATGAAGAGAAGTATTACCATCAAGTAATCTAGAGCTAGATGGACCTAAAGGGTTTTCTTTAGCATTCAAGAGATTCTTATGGATTAAATGACGGAGATGGGGGGAAGAAGCAAATGACAAATAATCATTGGAAGAGAAATCTATTAAGGTTGTTTTTAAGCTAATCAAATTATTTTTGGGAGCCCAAGCAGGAATGAGATCTAATGACCTAAGGTTTGAGCGTGCCTGCCGGGAGTCTAGTGCTTCTTGGAGCCTTTTCTCAAGTGAGGTGACCATGGTGAGCTGATCCTACATAAAGAAATAACCACAACTGTCATTAACATTATGTTTCACTTCTTTTTTATATTCAGAGTTACTTACTAGATAGAGTATAGGATGAGGTTGTAATTGATGTGTTTTGGGAAGAAGACAGTTGGATAAGCTGTGTAAAAAAAACGCAAAAATTGAATCAATGTTTGAATTTTATGTTTAGATCAGTTAAACTTACTTACTGTTTCAAATGATGTTTCTTTGGTGTGATGGTTTGTGAGCTTTCTAAGAATTGGATCTCAAGTGTGGGGAATGATGGACCTCCCACATGATATAACAGCAGTCGGAAATGCAGTTGTCTCAGGTTGGCTGTGGTTTGCCCTGTTCAATTACATAAGCACACATGGACATGCTATAATGCCTCAAAAGCTGATTTCTTGTACAAAACAAACACCAGAGTGATTTCATTTATTTTCATGCAGGTTTGACCAATTCTTTTGGGTACAAGGCAGATCTGATTCATTCAATCATCAGGCACCAGATTTTTATGGGTTCCAGCATGCAAATTCTACACAGCCATTCTGAGAAAGCTTGAATCCTCACAAGTCCATTTTTTTTCTCCAGTCACAGGTGCTGTATTGTTCTGGGGCACAGCCTGCCAAATCCACCTCTGCAGGTCCATTCCAACCCAGGTGGCCTGCCAGACAACACAAGCCTAGCCCAAAATTGCACCAGGATTTGAATAGCACAACACCTTGGACCAGATCATGAGAAATGAAAAAGTTACTGTTTTCCATCTAACTGTGCAAAAGAGAGACAGTTTTGTATTATTTGGTGTGCAAGAATTTGTGGAATGGCCATGTATCCACTTGGTTCTTGGATATCAAGTTGACATATTATGCCCAATGCAAGAAAACCCTAAAATATCATAACATATTGACAAGTATTGGGGTATTGAGTCTTGTTTTTGTTTAATTTCAAGTTTATTTCAATGCTTCGATCAGAGTAATATTTTCTCCCTTCAGTAGCAATCGACCTAAACATAGAAGGAAAGGAGTAATCGATTAGCTCGATTGATCATCAAGTTTATTGACCAAGCCTAGATGCTTATATCACGTTACCTAGTGATACTCGTGCTCCCTTTTCAACTGCTTCTCGATGCGGTGTTCCTTTCTTCGATTTGACCCAGACTTCCGATGCGTTATCGAGCACTACATTCATGAATTCGTCAAACCCCTATCAACCAAAGCGCAATTAAAAATTGATCAGTCGATATCAGAAGAGCCGGTTTTTACCATGACTATAATTATTGGAGAGAAAGCGTTTATTATGTTATTCTATCTTCCCAAAGATCAGTCAACGCACGATGATCTTTCCTTCCAGTCTGAATTCGGTGTTATCGTATAACCAGATGTGAACCAATTGGCCAGCTTGGAGATGTTTGAAGATGACATTCTGATAATATCCAAGACGATCGATCGCAAGCATGCGAGTTTTATTGACCAAGGCAGAGAGAGAGAGAGAAAGCGGTGGGATAATTAATGATCGAGTCGAAAGCTGGGGAACAGGACAGACAAAAATGACTCACGATGGGCTGAACCATCACTCGTTGCTGTCGTCCTGACATCTTGCGCGTTCGTGTGCTTGTTCGAGGCAAATGGAGGTGTTGTGAGCCGCGTCTTGGAAGGTTGCCGATCTGGGCTGTGCTCGTAGTCACCAGTGTAACTGCTGGAGGCCATGGTTGAGTGCCCGAGACTTCCCCGAGGGCTACCCCGGGGGAGTCATATACATCCATCCATCCATATCTCCGTTCACAGCACCACAACATCATCACCATCACCACCATCAACAGAAAAACCACGAGGATGGCCGAACTGATCAACGAACTCACTCAGTATCTATCAGCACTCTACACAAACCCAGACCCAAGCATCAAATCGAACGCAAACCAATGGCTTCAATCATTCCAGAAAACGGTCAGTGATCATCACATCAGAAATAGACTAAGAGTACAAGCTAACCAATCCATAATAAACTATAGGAACAAGCTTGGGTTACATCGGACGTCATACTCAAAACACAAGAGGCCCCGATCGAGTGTAAACTATTTGCTGCTCAAACTTTTCGTGCCAAGGTAAAACAACTCGAGCTGGTGTTTTTTTTTTACCTTGGGCAGAAAATTAATCAGTGAGACTAATGTTTTGATGTAGATCACCTTTGACCTCGATCAACTGCCAGAGCCGCATAGACTACAGCTGAGAGACTCGCTCTTAACGGCCCTCAGCCAGGATTCGATCATTTCCTCCAAAATCATCCTCGTCCAGCTCTGTCTATCTCTGGCCGATCTGGCATTACAACTTCCTGCATGGCCAACAGTCGTCACCGATCTCATCGAAAAGTTTGGAAAGAACCCTCAAACCGTGCCAATCTTACTCGAGTTCCTCACCGTCTTCCCTCAAGAGATCGTCGGTAATCAAAAGATCAAAATTCTCGTGCGAACACCCTTTTCATCTCGACTTCAAAACCATTATATGCTTCGATTGGCATCCTCCTGCTGATCAACTCCTTAATAATTAATCATCTAGAATCAATGGAGTACACCTGAGATCGCTCAACTCGTCCCAAATACCCTCTCGATGTATCTGGGAGCTCAAGGTTGATGATATATCTCACTGACTAGCTGTCATCCGTGTTCCGTGCTAACTTCTCTCTCTCTCTCTATCCTGCCAACTTAAAAAAAAAAAAAACAGGTATCACGACGGCCATCAAGACACAAATCTTCCATTGCTTGAGCTCTTGGTTGAGGGCAGGAGAAATTCAAAGTAGCTCAGCAGGAACTGAATTCATCCTCGGATGTGCTTTCTCGGCGCTAGAAGATGATTCACTATTCGAAGCGGCGGTGGACTTTATTGTCGATCTGATTCATGAGACTCAAGAGATTGAAGAAAGCATGCCGGTCATCCAACTGCTCCTATCCTTCCTGATTGCCCTTCAACCCAAACTCACTCAAGACCGAGATGATCCAGATAAGATGCGTGGCTACTGTCGAATCTATGTCGAAGCTGGAGAATGGTACACCCCATTGATCCTCCGTCATCCTGAAACTTTCTTGCCGATCGTCCTTGCCATTCGTTCGTGCTGTGATTACGACGATCTCGAAGTGGTCGGGATCACCTTCAACTTTTGGTATCGGCTCTCCAAGGGACTCCATCGCAAGAGAGAAGATGCCAACGCCAAGCCACTGCTAGAAGTCTATTCCAGTCTCGTAGAAACTATAATCCGTCATCTTCACTATCCCGATGATCCCAGCTCTCAGGTCGGCCAAGAGGCCGATGATTTCCGTCGCTTTCGGCACGACATTGGCGACACCCTCAAGGATTGCTGCTATGTACTTGGCGCCTCAGTCTGTCTCAAGAGGTCTTATGACATCATTGTTCAAGCCCTGTCGAGCAGCTCCAACGTCAAATGGCAGGACATCGAAGCACCCCTATTTTCGATGAGAACCATGGGCGCTGAGGTGGATCTTAAAGAAGATGGGATCCTGCCAATGATCATGGACATCATCCCTAGACTACCCGCCCACCCTAAGATCCGATATGCTACTATTCTTGTACTCTGTCGCTACACCGAATGGACTAACTTTCATCCCGATGGAATCCCCTTTCAACTCCAGTATATCTCTTCTGGATTTGAAGATCCTGCCCAAGAAGTCAGACTGGCAGCAGCCCAAGCCATGAAATTCTTGTGTCGGGATTGCTCCCAGGTAGGTATTGATTTTGGAAATCTTTTGCGTATAAATTGTAATAACAACAACTGATAGGTACTCTTGTCTTCATTCGTAGCATTTGGTCACTTATCTTCCTCAATTACATTCGTTTTATCAAAACATGAGCTTAACTCTTGGTCAGGATGATATGAACGAAGTTTCTGCAGCCATTGCACACATCATCGCTGGTCTTCCAGCCCCTCAAGGCGCTGCCGCCATGTCCACATTCTGTATGCCTCTTGTTGAAGGACTGCACAATGTTGCGGTCAGGAAGCAAGCACCCACTAAGCAAGTACAACAAAATGTTGCAGGTCAGTTCCTTTTTTTTCTCATCTTGGATCCTTCTGGTTCAAATGTTTTGGATTCCACCATGTTTGTCTGTCTGCAGATCTTCTGGAGCGCCTGGACACATTCCTATCGATTATTAACAGGCTGGAAGGTGATCTACCGGCGGACTGTCTCAAGACAATGGGCGAGATCTGGACAGTAATATCTGAGATCCTTGGACAATATGGGAGCAGCATCAAGCTCTCGGAGCGAATCTGTGCGCTAATCCGACGCGGGCTGACGTTCTATGGCCCAGGCTGTCTGCCTCTCATCGGCTCGGTCTTGGAGAAGGTCACCGCTGGATTCGAGGCCTCCGGTTGCTCCAGTTATCTCTGGATCACTTCCAAGGTCATCACCGCTTTCCCTGAACTCACCGATCCTAACTTCCTCTCTGCTATCAAACTTGCCTTTGAACGGCAGAGTAGTCGGGTATTCCCTCTGACCAGCCAGACCGATGCATCCTCAATCTCTGATGGTACGGATTCTCTCCCAGCTTGAATTTCGATTTTCTTTTCTGAAAGCTGACGTGTGCATTTTGTAATGTTTGTGTGACTGTGTTTTGGCAATGCAGTGATTGATGATTACATACATCTTTTGTCTAGCTTGATGGATAACCAACCCGAGATTCTGATACCTTCGAGCTGTTTCCACCAATCCTTCCCGTTGGTGCTGACCAGTCTTGAGTTTGTCGATCCCGAGCCGGTGTTCACGAGTCTGAACTACGTCCGACAGATCCTGGGGCACTCGAGCTTAGAGCTACAGGCGGCAGCCTCTTCGTCATCTGGAGCTGGGGGGAAGCCTGGATCGACGACGAGCAAGCCTGGGTCGAGTCAGATGGCCGTTCCGGTCGCTCCCGCGGGTTACGATGTCTTTGCACAGTCGATCAATCAAGTCGTCTCTCAGAACGGATACTTGCTCTCTGAGGTCTTGCTCAGGAGAACCCTCACTGACTTTCCCGAAGATTCCCTCTCCACCGTCATTATCCTGTTCAGGCTTTTGGCCGACTTTTTCCCCACTCAATTGGCAACTTGGGTCCCTTCTGTCGTCGAACGATTATCCCCTAAGGTCGCTACTATCCCTGATCGAGAAAAATTCCTTGTGGCTTTCAAACAGTTAGTCCTTCCTCTCTTCTCTTCCCCTCGCTAGTAAAATTGTTTATATTGATAACAATGTGTGTTTTCTTAACAACACAGGGCGTTGGAACAAAATCGATCCGATTTAGTGAAAGAATCTATACTCGGTTTAGTCAAAAGTTCAAAACGTGAACGAGCTCGAGAAAGGTTCACAGAAGATCGTTAAGAATAATTAAATAGCCCAATCTTATCCATTCAGTCAATACAAAAAAAATCAAAAACAAGGGGGGGTTTCTTTTTTATCCATTGATTGAATTGTGCAAAAGTTACTATCTTTTAGATATCTGATATCTAAACAAATTATAAAGAAATATGCATCTAAAATTTATTGGCAATGGAATCTGAAACAAAAAATGAATCAGATCCAACAAAGTGAACTCCAAAGGAAGAGTGTTCCCAGCTCTCATCTTTTGTGATTCTCAACCCTCCAGCATTGCCATGACAATCTTCAAGACCATGTTCAATGCCAATGGGAGTGTTGGATTTGTAGTATATTGCAGAAGCCAAGTCACTAATGTAATTTGATTCAGGTGAGAAAAATGTGTATCAGTGGACATGAAATATTACAAGGGCTAGGTAATATTGAATTTCAACTGCCACCAGTTCCTTGTGTTTTTTTTTCTCAGTGATTGGATGCTTGACTGGATTTGGATAGGAAACCTCATTTAACAATGTCAGTAAGAGAGCTAATGATGATAGGTTTTTGAGCCTTCAGGCATTGCCTTGGGGTGTGAGATGGCACATTGCCAGTGCTGCCAACCCTAGTTGGGTGTCCTGATATGGACAACCTAAGTCAAGGAGAATCAATTCTGTTTGTAGGAGGGGGAGGGGGGCAAACTTGACCCCCAACCCCTGTTCCCTTCTCTCAAGGAGTTGACTATGCTGACCAAAGGGAGGCACTTGGATGATAATGTCACATTTCAGACACAGGAGAATTCATCCAAAATTGCTAAATACCAGTTGTTTGTTATTTGGCTTTGTTGAACATTTTCTGCCATGTCTCCTTGGCTCATTTCTGGGCCCTTGAGATAGTTCCAGAATTGGCCACAAGGATGAGAATATTTAGTTGTCCTCTCTCTATTGGCACAGTATTGGACTCACACTTTGTGTACACATTCATGTCAACACTGGGAGGTTACGCTACCAGTAACGGTAGTGACGCAACAAAACCAGGGCTGTTAGTGTTGCAATAATCGCAACGGCCTTTCTGTTACGTTTTATTTTTTTGTTGTTACGTTATCCACAGCACAAAAAGGTGGATTAACAAATGAATAACTAGGTCAATAAGGCAGATAAATTGTTGTTTGCGTTATTTTTCTGGGTAACAAGGGGAGAAACCCCCTTTGTTACGTTACTCATGTCCCAAAAACCTATTTTGTCTGGATAACGCTAATGGTGTTATCTGGACAGCTGGGAAGTTATGTTACAAAAATCCCTTGGGATATCGTAATGTATGTAACTTCCCAGTGTTGTTCATGTGCAGTAGCTCAACCTGTTGAACTTACAGGTTTCTGCTTAGTCATATTGTTTTTCTCTCTCTCGGTATTGAATAATAAACCTAGTTAGATGGACAATATGTAGTCCGCAGCATGTGTGCACAGTAGACCTAGTTGATTCTGTTATAAGACCGATAGTTCATCTTCCTTTGTATCGGTTCTCTAACCAACTCAACTTGTTCTTTACTCACACCGCTCGTACTGCCTCAACCTGCTCGGTTTAGGTCCGTTTTCTGTTTCTCTCTCTTTCACTTTATCAGTTTCATTTGATCTCATGGCTAGTGTCTTGCTTTCAGGTTTGCTCCATCGCTCCGTTGTCACCGCTCGTGTTTGCTTGTGTCTAACGAAGCTCTATCACCATAAAGGTGTGCAAGCTCTAGTAATTTCAACCAACTCAACTTGTTCTTTACTCACACCGCTCGTACTGCCTCAACCTGCTCGGTTTAGGTTTGCTCCATCGCTCCGTTGTCACCGCTCGTGTTTGCTTGTGTCTAACGAAGCTCTATCACCATAAAGGTTTGCTCCATCGCTCCGTTGTCACCGCTCGTGTTTGCTTGTGTCTAACGAAGCTCTATCACCATAAAGACTTTACTGTCTAATAGGTTATGAGCCCAGGTTGCGCGTAGAAGCCCCTGGATTGAAATTTTAATCTTGCATTCACCAAAAACTCCAATCATGTCCGATAATCACGGATCTTCCACACTTCCCATTCTCACCGACACTAACTTCTCCGAATGGAAAGAGTTGGTGTACGCTTTCGGTCTGCGAAAAGGATTCAACAAGTTTTTGATCTCTGATCGTTTGGCTACCGCAACGGAAGCGCAAAAGGAAGCTTGGGAAGAAAAGAAGATGATGGCCGCAGGTGTCATCAACGGTCAGCTCGGTCCCGATCATCGCGCACGCTTCATAACGAAGGACAACCGAGAAGAACCTCATCTTGTCTGGAAGTTGCTCTGTGATCACTTTGAATCTCAAACGACTCAGAACCAGGCCAAAAACTACATAAAGTTTTTAGACGTCTCGTACAAATCCAATCTTTCCAACTTCCTTCGTCAGGTCAATAACAGCGTTGCCAGAATGAGGGCAGTCGGAATGTCAATTCGTGTTCCCTTACCAACGGAGCCTACTGTCAATGAAAACCTCTTAGCCGAACAGATCGTTCATCTACTACCTTCCCGCTACATCAACACGAAGGAGATTCTATTTTCGAAAAGACCACTGACCCTGAAAATTGTTCAGGATCATCTCGAAGCCAAAGATCAAGACTTTTCAACCAGCGACTCACCGGCAATCAAAACCGAAACCGCTCTCAAAGCCGCCGCTACCCAAGAATGGTGTGAAGGCGGCAAGCATAATCCGAAGACAAGACATTCAAGATCTCGGTGTTACCAGCTACATCCAGAACTCGAGCCTGCATCCTACAGAGCAAAGCAGGGTCTCAAAAAGGCAAACGTTGCCATGACCAATCAAGAGGACGAAGCTCCAGCTAGAGCCTACTCCTGTCTTCGTACGTCAAAGGCCAACTCCGCGATGAAATCGGAAACTATTCTTCTTGATAGTGGATGTTCCGATCACATGTTCCCAAACAAGGATCACTTTTACAACTATACCGACTTTTCTTCATCGGTTTCAGTTGCTGATGGCAAGACCATGCCCATAATTGGTTCCGGGTTTGTGAAACTCAAGAACTCTAGCGGTGGTTACTACTTCTTCAAAGCCTTGCATGTCCCTACTCTTTCGAATCCCTTGATCAGCTTCGGCCATTTATTTATATCCGGTTGCAACATCGTGAGAGAAGACACCGACAAGTTCTCCGTCATTGATTCCGACTCGAAAAGACATCTATTCAGTGGATGTGTCATCGATAAAGTTTTTTCAGTCAAAGCCTCTTTTGTTCTTCCCGAAGGTCAGTCAATCTCAACTCGATCGTTACGGATAACTCAAACTGATCCGGCTCTTTTGCACAGGCGAGCAGGCCACCCAAGCTCTGAAGCTTTGAAAATCATGTTCGGGGTTGATTTCTCGACCATGTCTTGCGATTCATGTCACGTTTCAAAATCTCAGCGACTTCCCTTTTCAGGAGTCCTTCCCAATCCTAAGGGTCTGCTTGATCACATTTATATGGATCTCAGCGGAAAAATCACGCCACCCACACTTGGGGGCGGCCTTTATTACTTTAAAATTACAGATTCCTTCTCTTCTTTTAAGCATGTCTATATCTTGAAAACAAAATCTCAGGCGTTTGAATTCTTTAAAGATTATTGCAATGAAGTAGAAAATCAACTGGATCTGAAGATCAAAACTGTTGTCACCGATGGCGGTGGAGAGTTCTGCTCCAACGAGTTTGAATCCTTCTTCAAATCAAAAGGGATCGTTCATCAACTCACTGCGCCGTACACCCCTCAACAGAATTCAATTGCTGAAAGGGGTAATCGGACAACAAGCGAAAAAGCAAGGTCGATGCTCAAGCAGGCAAATTTGCCACCTTCGCTTTGGGGTGAGGCTGTCCACACGGCTGTATTCTATGAGAATATCACTCCCATGAAGCGCCTAAAATGGTCCACTCCTCACTCTATCTGGTTCGGTTGTGACTTTAATGTCTCCCGACTGAGAACTTTTGGATGCCGCGCTTATGTCAACATCCCGAAGGAACGAAGAGATGGGAAGTTTGGGGATACCTCCAAAAGAGGTGTTCTTCTGGGTTATCGGCAAGGTATCCACAACTGGAGGATACTTACAGCGGGGAACCGGGTTGAGTATAGCCACGATGTCGTCTTTGACGAGGCTGTATTTCCAGGAATCTCCCCCGGCTCCCTTGCCGATGCCCCCACTTCCGTTTTTTGTGAGGATGATGAAGATGTGTCCTCCATCTCCCCGGCTCTGCCTAATCCCCCGCTTGAGGATCTGCAAGTCCCCGATTCTAACGAGTCTATCGCTTCGGAAGAGACTTTTGACTCCGCAGCAGAGGATGTAGCACGGGATTTAATTCCCGCAGTCTCATCATCATCCAACCCTAAACCCGGATTCTCCTATGTCCCGGCGAGTCAGCCGGCTCCTAATAACATCTCCTCTGATATCAACCCTGACAATATCATCAATCATCGAAGGCGAGCCCACCTTGCGAATCAACTCCTCACTGCCGAACCTTTCTACGAAGCAATTTTCGCCATGTCTGTCGCTGAAATCGATCCTCATCCATCCACCCCAAAAACATACAAGGCTGCTCTTCTTTCGCCCGAATCATCTTCGTGGATGGCTGCCGTAGCGGTTGAGCTGGCTGCTATGCAGCGGCTCAATGTGTGGGAAGTAGTTCCCATTCCTAAGGGTCATCACCTGCTGGGTTCGCTGTGGGTATTTCGGAAAAAGTACGATGCTCATGGTAATCTAGTCAAATTCAAAGCTCGATTGGTCGCACAAGGCAGTGCTCAAAAAGAAGGCATCGACTTCAATGAGACGTACGCGCCAACCGGTCGCTCCTCAGCTCTTTGGGCGGCGTTGACGATTGGGGTTAACGAGGGCCTTGATATTCATCAAATGGATGTACGGAATGCGTTTCTCAACGGTGTCCTTGATGAGGTAATCTATCTTCGTTGCCCAGCCGGTCTTGATATTCCGTCCGGTCACTGTCTCAAGCTGAAAAAGTCCATATATGGGTTGAAACAGGCCCCCAGAGTATGGTACGGGGAACTCGCTTCATTCTTAGACTCTATCAAATTCATCCCTTCCGTCGCGGATCCTTGCCTTTTCGTCTCCACTGACCCCGACTGGAAATGTCTGGTGCACGTCTATGTTGATGATATGGCGATCATTAGCAACGATGTCAACAGATTCAAGCAGCTTGTCAATGACCGTTTTCTCATGGACGATTTGGGTCCG